AACACGGGGACTAACATTGGGGCTAACACGGGGGCTAACACGGGGGCTAACACGGGGACTAACACACGGATTAACACACGGATTAACACGGGGACTAACGCGGGGACTAACACGGGGACTAACGTGGGGACTAACACGGGGACTAACACGGGGACTAACACGCGGGCTAACACACGGACTAACACGGGGACTAACACGGGGGCTAACACGGGGACTAACACGGGGACTAACACACGGACTAACACGGGGACTAACACGGGGACTAACGCGCGGACTAACGCGGGGGCAAACACGGGGACTAACACGGGGACTAACACGGGGACTAACACGGGGGCTAACACGGGGGCCAACACGCGGACTAACACGGGGGCTAACACGCAGGATAACGTGGGGGCTAACGCGCGGACTAACACGGGGACTAACACGGGGGCTAACACGGGGGCTAACACGCGGACTAACACGGGGGCTAACACACGGACTAACACGCGGACTAACGCGGGGACTAACACATGGACTAACACGGGGACTAACACGCGGACTAACGCGGGGACTAACACGCGGACTAACGCGGGGACTAACACATGGACTAACACGGGGGCTAACACGGGGACTAACACGGGGGCTAACACGGGGGCTAACACGGGGACTAACACGGGGACTAACGCGGGGACTAACACGGGGGCTAACACATGGACTAACACGGGGACTAGCACGGGGGCTAACACGCGGACTAACACGGGGACTAACACGGGGACTAACACGGGGGCTAACACACGGACTAACACGGGGGCTAACACGGGGACTAACACGGGGACTAACACGGGGGCTAACACACGGACTAACATTGGGGCTAACACGGGGGCTAACACGGGGACTAACACGGGGGCTAACACGGGGGCTAACACGCGGACTAACACGCGGACTAACACGGGGGCTAACATTGGGGCTAACACGGGGACTAACACGGGGACTAACACGGGGACTAACACGGGGGGGCTAACACGGGGACTAACACGCGGACTAACACGGGGGCTAACACGGGGGCTAACACGCGGACTAACACGGGGACTAACACGCGGACTAACACGGGGGCTAACACGGGGGTTAACACGGGGGCTAACACGGGGACTAACACGGGACTAACACGCGGACTAACACACGGACTAACACGGGTGCTAACACGGGGGCTAACACGGGGACTAACACGGGGGCTAACACGGGGACTAACACGGGGGCTAACACGGGACTAACACGGGGGCTAACACGGGGGACTAATACGGGGGCTAGCACGGGGGCTAGCACGGGGGCTAACACACGGACTAACACGGGGGCTAACACGGGGACTAACACGGGGGCTAGCACGGGGGACTAACACGGGGGCTAACACGGGGGACTAACACGGGGGCTAACACGCGGACTAACACGGGGACTAACACGCGGACTAACACACGGACTAACACGGGGGCTAACACGGGGACTAACACGGGGGCTAGCACGGGGGCTAGCACGGGGGCTAGCACGGGGGCTAACACGGGGGCTAACATGCGGGCTAACACGGGGACTAACACGCGGACTAACACGGGGGCTAACACGGGGGCTAACACGGGGACTAACACGGGGGCTAACACGGGACTAACACGGGGGCTAACACGGGGGACTAATACGGGGGCTAGCACGGGGGCTAGCACGGGGGCTAACACACGGACTAACACGGGGGCTAACACGGGGACTAACACGGGGGCTAGCACGGGGGACTAACACGGGGGCTAACACGGGGGACTAACACGGGGGCTAACACGCGGACTAACACGGGGACTAACACGCGGACTAACACACGGACTAACACGGGGGCTAACACGGGGACTAACACGGGGGCTAGCACGGGGGCTAGCACGGGGGCTAACACGGGGACTAACATGCGGGCTAACACGGGGGCTAACACGGGGGACTAATACGGGGGCTAGCACGGGGGCTAACACGGGGGCTAACACGGGGACTAACACGGGGACTAACATGCGGGCTAACACGGGGGCTAACACGGGGGACTAATACGGGGGCTAGCACGGGGGCTAGCACGGGGGCTAACACGGGGGCTAACACGGGGACTAACACGGGACTAACACGAGTCATGGCGGTGTGAGTCTCGTCGCCACAGGCAGGGAGCGAACCCGTCACGCCTCGCCGCCCCCAAACTCGGGACCCACGTGTCACCCGCGTGTCACCCCCGTGTCACCCACGTGTCACCCACGTGTCACCCGCGTGTCACCCACGTGTCACCCACGTGTCACCCGCGTGGTTCAGGCAGAGCCGTACCGAGGTTCAGGGGTAACGGCGAATCGTGGCGACCGTCCCGGAAAGGGGGGGGGGGGGGGGGTACGCCGTGGAATTTTCCCCGGGCTCCGCAACCCCCCCCCCGCCCCCCACACGGTCCAAGCGCAGCCCTTCAAGTGTCTGCGCACGCCACCGCCGGTCAAATGACCTCCACATTGTCTCAACTGCCGCGCCAGGAAATCGAGTCAAAGGCGGGCTACCTCTGAATTTTGCCCAGGTGGTGCCGAGTGTTGCTCATCATTATATGACGAGAGGGAGCTCTCCAGGAAAGTGTTGTTGGCCTGCTCTTCCACAACTGGCTAGGACGCCTCGGAAGCTTGTGGGAGTGTCCCCCACGTGTTACCCCACCGTCTTGCCGCTCATTCGCACCGAACGGCCTGCGGCAGCTTCCCAATGCTGTCGTAACAACAACAACAGCAGCAACAATTATAGTAACAACAACAACAAACGAGCAAAATATAAAATACAATTGCAGTTTGAAAGTAATAATGTTACGAATCGTGCAGTTATTAGTAATGGCCAACGTCGTATTAATGTCGGCTTAAACCGACGCAGAGAAATTTTTTATATATATTAAAAAAATACTTTAAAAATATATAAAACCCTGGACCCAAATAATTCTTACTCAGCTCATTTTATTACACTATTGTGTAATTACGGAAAATCCCACACGGGCACGAGAGTGAGTGGGTAGGGGCAACATGGCTCAGAGCTAGGAGAGTTGAATAATCATTATTAAGCACATACTCTTTGGTTCTTTCGGTAAAGTCACGTAGGTATAAAATAAAATAAATCAGGTGGGAAAGCATGGTCTGCTGCTGAGGCAAACAGCCTGCCACAGGTCCCAGTGTGGAAGTTTGCTGCTGCTGCTGCTGCTGGCCACGGCGAGAGGGAATTGAGACCAGAGTGGTTTATGATCTCGGTCCGTAGTTTGGGTTTCGTGGCCACAGTCTACGTCTCTCGAGCTGCTGCTGCTTCTTGCGTCTGTCTCAGTGTGGAGGTCTCCCGCTGCTGCTGCTGCTGCTGGCACGACGGGAGGGAGAGTTCGTGTCGTGTCGCTCTTCCTCCTCCTCCAGACCACAGCGGGTTTACTGTGCGGTCCATGGCGTGGATTGCATGGCCACAGTCGCACCGCTGTGGAGTCTTTGAGGCTGAGGACTATAAAAGGCAGGAGGAGGTGCGATGATGATGATGATGCCCAATGAGCACGGAACTAATACCCCGCACTCTTCCGATTGTGAGATGCTCGCTTTGTACCCGGATGTCAATGCAGCCACACAAAGGTTCACAACAGCAACGATCCCCCATATAGCCTTAACATTCTCTTGGGGCAAGTGCTGTTAGCGAGCAGCACCTATGAAGGCCGGAATGGCACATGGAGGGTGTGGGTGGCCAGCACCACGCCTTTGCCTCCGGAGTGCCGATGTTTACACACCGCACCAGGTTATTGATTTGAGGTTGAGTCGACCTAGGGGAGGCCCAGGACCGATTCAGATAATCGTCACTGGTGTTGGCCGTGAGCGGGAATCGAACCCGGGTCGCTGGATTTGTAGCACAGCGCCCTAACCGCTACCCCAACGCTCCTTCCCCTTACATACACAGACTTACACACAGACTTACACAGACTTACACACACACACAGACTTACACACAGACTTACACACACACAGACTTACACACACACAGACTTACACACACACAGACTTACACACACAGACTTACACACAGACTTACACACACAGACTTACACACACACAGACTTACACACACACAGACTTACACACACACAGACTTACACACGCAGACTTACACACAGACTTACACACACACACAGACTTACACACACGCAAGTCAAAAATAACAAAGTTGATTTGCTGCTCAAACGAGCATTGAGGCATCGGTGCCCATCTGTTTACAGCCCTACGGAGCCAGTGGTGGAAATTCCACTTTCATATGGCGGGGGAGAGTTTATCTGTAGGGCAACCGTCGTTGACTTCGCCATCCCGGAGGGAGGGGCGAGGGGCTTAGCTCACCACCCAACCCCCAGCCCCTTTACACAATTTGAACTTCCAATCTTTCGATTGCAAATCGCTAGGGGGGGGGGGGGGGCTGCCCCTACCCCCTAATCAGGAGGAATAGGGTAAGCGATTATCGTCGTCGTGTGTAATGTCGAGGTGGGCGCGTGGTTGGGGTTACGCATTCGAAAGTCAATAATTTGCAACGTCCACTGTTTTTTTTTTATTTTGAACCCAAAAAATTAAATTTTTGAGAGAGCGAGGGAGAGGGAGGGAGATCAACGAGAAACGAGATTTTGTAAAATGAACGAGAAATGTTATTAAAGCCCTTGACATAAATCCGGAATAAATTGGAATACTTAAAAAATATATATGGGTTCGAGTGGAATCCGATTACTAGATTGGGTGGAGGGGAAGGGGGAGGAGGGGGAGGAGGAGGAGGGGGAGGAGAAAGAGAGGGAGGGGGAGGAGGGGGAGGAGGAGGAGAGGGAGGGGGAGGAGGGGGAGGAGGAGGAAGAGAGGGAGGGGGAGGAGGAGGGTGAGGAGGAGGAGGAGAGGGAGGGGGAGGAGGAGGAGGGGGAGGAGGAGGAGGGGGAGGAGTCCAACCACAGAGGTGAGAGGGGGAGTGTAAACGGTGGGGTGGGTGGTTGGGGGTCTCATGGCCAGGTATAAACACTTGGGGAGATACCTGGCCAAGATAGACAGAGAGAGAGAGGGCGGCAGAGTGCAGGCGCAGGGTGGGGACGTGCGCTCTGGACAGATGCACAATGCACGTGTGTCCCTTGGACTTCAATTCGCACCGCACGTAGCCAGCCGTGGCGACGCAGACGCGCCGAGTTCACTTCGCCTGGCCGCGGGAGGCGGCCCTTTGACCACCGCGAGCGCCTTAAAGAGCGGAGCCCTGACACCTGCCGCTCCGTGCCCGCACTGGCAAGAAGATGCCTCTCCACCCTAGCAAGATCGTCCTCCCTCTGTGAAGAGGAGGGGGAGGTGTGGTAATTCCTGGCCGGGCTGTACGGCGGAAGAGGCCGAGGAGGGTGGCGGAGGAGGTTCGTGGTCGTCGAGAAGAGGGTTCGGTTGGCAGCCGCGACGGGCCGGTGGGTGTCTACGGCGTTGCGCGGAGAGAGAGAGAGAGGGCCCAAGGATTTTGTCAGACAATCGTACGCATGAGGTGTGAATCGACGAGGGTTGGAATTCGACGGTGGCCGGAGACGCACGAAGCGAAATGTTTGACGGGAGACGTTTGAATGAGGAACGGGGACGGTCGACGGACGTTGTGCAAGGGCGCTGGAGGGCGATCCTCCTCGGTCGTACGGCACGGGCGACGTTTACCAACGGAGCCGTCCCCGTAGGGGCACGGGCGAATCGGGGCGGACGCCCCGGGCCCTGCGCTTTGGGGGGGGGGGGGTCGACGTCACGGTGCCAGATGCAATACGACCGGTTTAGTTTGAAGGGGGGGGGGGGCCCACAGAGTGTGTGAGTTACCATGCCCCCCCCCCATAGACGGTCCTGACTTTATGTGTGTGTGTGCGTGTGTGCGTGAGTGTGTGTGTGCGTGTGTATGTTCGTGCGTGTGTGTGTGCGTGCGTGTGTGTGTGTATGTGTGTGATGTGTGTATGTATGTGTGTATGTGTGTGTAGTGTATGTATGTGTAGTGTGTGTGTGTCTGTGTGTGTGTATGTGTGTGTAGTGTATGTATGTGTAGTGTGAGTGTATGTATGTGTGTATGTATGTGTGTATGTGTGTGTAGTGTATGTATGTGTATGTGTGTAGTGTGTATGTGTATGGTGTGTATGTATGTGTGTGTATGGTATGTGTGTATGTATGTATGTGTATGTATGTGTGTATGTTATGTATGTATGTGTAGTGTGTGTGTGTCTGTATGTGTGTATGTGTGTGTAGTGTATGTATGTGTGTATGTGTGTATGTATGTGTATGTATGTATGTGTATGTATGTGTATGTATGTGTGTGTATGTGTATGTATGTATGTGTATGTATGTGTGTATGTGTATGTATGTGTATGTGTGTGTATGTATGTGTGAGTGTGTGTATGTGTATGTGTGTATGTATGTGTGTATGTATGTGTGTATGTATGTGTCTGTGTATGTATGTATGTATATGTATGTATGTGTGTATGTGTGTATGTGTCTGTGTGTGTATGTGTCTGTGTGTGTATGTATGTATATGTGTGTGTATGTATGTATGTGTAGTGTATGTGTGTATGTGTCTGTGTGTGTATGTATGTATGTGTGTATGTTATGTATGTATGTGTAGTGTATGTCTGTATGTGTGTATGTGTCTGTGTGTGTATGTGTGATGTGTGTATGTATGTGTAGTGTATGTGATGTATGTGTCTGTGTGTGTATGTGTGATGTATGTATGTGTCTGTGTATGTGTGTATGTGATGTATGTGTAGTGTGTGACGTGTGTGTGTGTATGTTATGTGTGTATGTGTGATGTATGTATGTGTCTGTGTATGTGTGTATGTGATGTATGTGTAGTGTGTGACGTGTGTGTGTGTATGTTATGTGTGTATGTGTGATGTATGTATGTGTCTGTGTATGTGTGTATGTGATGTATGTGTAGTGTGTGACGTGTGTGTGTGTATGTTATGTGTGTATGTGTGATGTATGTATGTGTCTGTGTATGTGTGTATGTGATGTATGTGTAGTGTGTGACGTGTGTGTGTGTATGTTATGTGTGTATGTGTGATGTATGTATGTGTCTGTGTATGTGTGTATGTGATGTATGTGTAGTGTGTGACGTGTGTGTGTGTATGTTATGTGTGTATGTGTGATGTATGTATGTGTCTGTGTATGTGTGTATGTGATGTATGTGTAGTGTGTGACGTGTGTGTGTGTATGTTATGTATGTATGTGTGATGTATGTATGTGTCTGTGTATGTGTGTATGTGATGTATGTGTAGTGTGTGACGTGTGTGTGTGTATGTTATGTATGTATGTGTGTGTATGTATGTGTCTGTGTATGTGCGAGCTCACGGAGCCGTTGGGGGTGAGTCTCTGCCGAGGCTTCGGCGCATTGCCCGCGGTGCTGCCGCGAATCGGCGGTGCCGGGGGGCGGGGAGGGGCGGTTGCTGGGTCACGTGACCCGTGGCCTGGCCCTGGCTGTCCACACCGCGTGGCGCTCTTGGTCGTCCGCCGGCGGCGGAGGCGTTGTGACGTTGGCGTTGTGACGTTGTGACGTTGTGACGTTGGCGTTGTGACGGTGGCGTTGTGACGTTGGCGTTGTGACGTTGGCGTTGTGACGTTGGCGTTGTGACGGTGGCGTTGTGACGTTGGCGTCGTGACGGTGGCATTGTGACGTTGGCGTTGTGACGTTGGCGTCGTGACGGTGGCGTTGTGACGTTGGCGTTGTGACGTTGGCGTTGTGACGTTGGCGTTGTGACGTTGGCGTTGTGACGGTGGCGTTGTGACGTTGGCGTCGTGACGGTGGCGTTGTGACGTTGGCGTTGTGACGTTGGCGTTGTGACGTTGGCGTTGTGACGTTGGCGTTGTGACGGTGGCGTTGTGACGTTGGCGTCGTGACGGTGGCGTTGTGACGTTGGCGTCGTGACGGTGGCATTGTGACGTTGGCGTTGTGACGTTGGCGTTGTGACGTTGGCGTTGTGACGTTGGCGTTGTGACGGTGGCGTTGTGACGTTGGCGTCGTGACGGTGGCGTTGTGACGTTGGCGTTGTGACGTTGTGACGTTGGCGTTGTGACGTTGGCGTTGTGACGTTGGCGTTGTGACGGTGGCGTTGTGACGTTGGCGTTGTGACGGTGGCGTTGTGACGTTGGCGTTGTGACGGTGGCGTTGTGACGTTGGCGTTGTGACGTTGGCGTTGTGACGGTGGCGTTGTGACGTTGGCGTTGTGACGTTGGCGTTGTGACGTTGGCGTTGTGACGTTGGCGTTGTGACGGTGGCGTTGTGACGTTGGCGTTGTGACGGTGGCGTTGTGACGGTGGCGTTGTGACGTTGGCGTTGTGACGGTGGCGTTGTGACGTTGGCGTTGTGACGTTGTGACGTTGGCGTTGTGACGTTGGCGTTGTGACGGTGGCGTTGTGACGGTGGCATTGTGACGTTGGCGTTGTGACGTTGGCGTTGTGACGTTGTGACGTTGGCGTTGTGACGGTGGCATTGTGACGTTGGCGTTGTGACGGTGGCGTTGTGACGGTGGCGTTGTGACGGTGGCGTTGTGAAGTTGACATTGGCACAGTGGCATTCTGACGGTGGCGTTGTGATGGTGGCATTGGGACTGGCGTTGTGATGGTGTCATTGGGACTGGCGTTGTGACGTTGGCGTTGTGACGGTGGCGTTGTGACAGTGGCGTTGGGACAGTGGCGCCGTAAAGGGGGAGGGGGGCGTGAACCGGGACTTGACGCGCAACTTGGGATCTGGGTAGGGGGGGTGGGGAGGCAGGGGGGTTCGGGCGGCACCTTTCCAAGTTGCAGAGTTGAGTTGCAGAGTTGAGTTGCAGAGTTGAGTTGCGGCGTTGAGTTGCGTAGTAACCCGCGACCTCCTGTAGACCAGGCGAGGTAGTCAACATCTCCTAGCCACCGCGGCGCCCTCCCTGCGTGGCTGAGGCCACACTCGGGGTCGTCGACAGAGGCGGTTCGCTGGACGCCGCTCGCTCGGCACCGCCGCACCTCGCCGCTTGGCCACGCCGAGTGTCTCGTGAGGGGGGCAGCCACGTGGCCCACGCCCTCCGGCACCGGCGACGGTTGTCTGCACCGGTTCTGGGCCTCCCCTGGGTCGACGCAACCTCAAATTGTGACCTGGTGCGGTGTGCGCTAAACACCGGGGAGAGGTCATCCTCGCAGCAGCGGCTCTGCATTGCGCGCGGCCGTCTGGAACGCTTTTCCCTTCCGGCATTAGGAAGCCACTCGGAGCTGCGCTCCTCTAAATCTAGATGCCAAAACGAATTTAAGAAACTTTCCGTCGTGTTTAGTGCTGTTGCCCTTACCCCGCACCTCTGCTTAGCAACGGTGGGCTACGTACGGTGCGAAAGAAGTCCAACGTGCATGCGAGGCGGCCGGGTGTGGTGCTGGCCTGCCCACCCCCTCGTTCGCCGTTCGGGCCTTCACAGGTGCCGCTCGCTCACAGCTCTCGACCCAACATTCTGTTAAGGCCACGCGGGGTGCCTTTGTGTGTGTCTCTGCTGTAGGCGTGAATCTGCCGTGGAGATGAGGAAGGAGGGAGAGAAAGGCGACAAGATGAAAGGTAACTCACAGCCTAGATAAAGACCACGCGCACACACGCATGGATACACACACACAGACACGTATAAAGATCTCCCGTACAGCCCACACATGCTGTTGGGGCAAGTGCTGTTAGCGAGCACCTATGAAGGCCGGGATGGCACACGAGGAGGCGATGTGGCAAGCACCACGCCCGACCACCTTTGTCTCCCCAGTGGCAATGTTTAACAGCCCGCATGAGGAATTCGATTAATGCCGAGTGGTAGTGGTGGTGATGACGGTGATATCGGTAGTGGTGGCATTGGCGTTAATATTGGTGATATTTTTATTGAAGGTGGTGGATGATGATAGTGGTGGTTAGGATGATGTTGGTGATGGTTGTGGTGATAGTGGTGGTGATGATGATAGTGGTGGTGATGATAGCAGTGATGATGGATGGTGATGATGTTGTTGCCAGGCACCCGGCTGGATGACAACTCATCCAAGAAGCGGGGAGACCCCGCATCACGACACGTGGACCGGCGACCTCACGAGGTAGGAGTCTAACCCTGAGCCAACGAGGTCAGAGGCGAACTCGAACCCTGACTATAACCCGTGCGGTGAGAAAAATATCACGAGCGGGGAGAGACAAAGGCGGCCGGGCGTGATGCTAGCTAGTCACACTCCCACTTTCCCCAACAGCCTGACAAGTTCAGTGTCTTCTAGTCATAACGGGCAACCACCCTGCTGATGCGACACAAAGAAGTCGAGACCAGTCCAGGGTTGGCTGTCTCAGTGTCTCCATCTCTGCGTGTCTCCTTGTCCCCACCGCTCCACGTCTCCGTGTCTCCAAGTACCCGTGTCTCTCTATGCCGGTGTTCGCATCTCTCCCAGTCCCCGTGTCTCCATCTCTCCGCATCGTCCACGTCTCTGCGTCTCCTTGTCCCCGTCTCCCCCGTGTCCCCGTGTCTACAACGATTTATTTTATTTTACAGGTAAGTCCCCGCTGAGCTGTTTAGTTCGTTTTTGTCAGAAGCGACCTGGCCGCAAATGATAGCTCAACGAATTGGGCTTATCACGTGGACATTTACAGCAGACAAAGACTCTAAACACGCGGCGATGTTGATTCTAAATGTGGAGGGAAAAAGCGGAGGACCCCGGGAAGAAAGAGAGAGAGAGAGACACGCACGTTAGGTTTGAGATCGAGCCCACGACCTCCTGTAGACCAGGCGAGGTAGTTAACATCTCGCCGCCGCCTCTCCGCGTGTCCAGGTGTTCGTGCAGCTCAACGAGTTGGTCTGGGCGAGCGGTGGCGGTGGCAAGGAGGTGGAGGGGGGGGGAGGGGGGGGGAGGGGCCCTCGTCGTCGTGGCGCGAGACGGCGCGGTGGATCAAGTTCGAGGAGTCGTTCGAAGCGGAGGCGGCGCGCTGGGGCAAGCCGCGCGTCTCCTCGCTCAGCTTCCGTGCCCTCCTCGAGCTCCGCAAGATCCTGGCCCACGGTGAGACTGGAGGGGGAGACGCGCCGGTGGGGGGGGGGGGGGGGGGGGGGGGGGCGGGGAGATACGGGGGAAGGGAGACACATGGGTCGGAGAGATAGGAGGGTAGACATTGGGGGGAGACACGGGGGGAGACACGGGGGGAGACACGGGGGAGCAGACACACGGGGAGACAACCCGGCCTCACGCACCATTCCTCGTTGTCCTCCACAACGGCTGTACCAGGTGTTCGCTAAACATCACCTGCCACGAGAGGCCACGTAGTCTACCCGGGACACCTGTGTCTGTGTGTCTGTGTGTGTGTCTGTGTGTCTGTGTGTGTGTGTGTATCAGTGTGCCAGGAAAGGTCCTGGCAAGGATTATTCAACATCGCCTTGCCAGGCACGCTGAGGAGAGGCTTGCGGAGCCCCAATGCGGTTTCAGGACAGGGCGGTCCTGCACGGACGCCATATTTTCTGATGTTCTGCTACAGCAGAGGTGTAGGGAATTCCAACAAGACCTACATCTCTGCTTTATTGACCTGGTCAAGGCCTATGATACCATCATTAGGCCTGGGCTCTGGGTTGTTCTTCGTACTTTTGGAGTCCCTGACCCTCTGCTCACGATCATTAAGGACCTTCGTGATGGTGAGCGGGCCCGGGTAAAACTACGTGGCCGGGAGTCGGAGCCATTCCCTGTTCACTTTGTGGTGCGACAGGGATGTCCTCTGGCTCCCACATTATTTAACATATTTTTCGACCACGTAGTTCGTGAAGCCTTTGATGGCTGTACCAGGAGAATTTCAATCTGGTACAGATACAATGGGAGGCTGATCGATGCCCGGGTGCGGTCAAGGGGTGGCTCCCTATTGGTCAACCACGTTACGTATGCCAATGATTTGGTAATCTCCGCTCACTCAGAGGAGGAGTTGGAGGTGCTGCTGCTGAAACTGGAGCGTGCCACTAAGAGATGGGGCCTTACCATCAGCCCCACCAAAACTAAGCACCTGCCTGGGTATTTTGTACCATCGGACACTCCACCCAGACAACTCCCAACCGGTGATGGGGCAGTTGTGGAGAGAGTGGAGAGTTTCCCATACCTGGGCAGTGTGCTCATGTGCGGCTCCGGTTTGACAGCAGAGGTCTCCGAATCAGTCGAGCGGCATTATCTTTTCATCGGTTGCATAACGCTGTGTGGAAGCTACCTGGTCTGCCGCTCCGCATGAAGCTTCAAGTCTTCTCGGCCAAGGTCATTCCCTCTCTTCTCTACGCTTGCGAAACGTGGACCCCCCCTAATGGAGCATCTTCGCCGATTGGAAACATTTAGGCTAGCCTGCCTGCGATCCATCCTGGGTTTAACCAGGCTGGATTGTGTGAGGAGCTCCAAATCCTTGAAAGATCTGGGCAAAATCCCATCGGTGAGCTCCTCCGGCAGGCAAGGCTGCGTTGGCTGGGTCACGTAGCCCGCATGCCCAGCCACCGCATGCCGAAACAGCTTTTGTTCAGCCAGATAGAGAGGGCTAAACGGGCTCGGCATGGGCTAGAGAAGAGATTGAGTGATGTGGTACAGGAGGACGTGGAGCTGAGTGGACTTGCCGATGACTGGTACCAGCAGTGTCAAGATCGGCCTCTGTGGAGGAGGCTCGTGAAGGACGCTACTGGGCAGTTGGAGGCAGTCGCCCTCCAACAACAACGGAGGGCGGAGGAGCGACGCTCACAACAATGAACGGAGCGCCGGGTGGCTAAAGCACAGCAGGTTGGCACAGTAGGGGGCACAGGTGGTGCATCAGCCAGTCATCTCAGTCATCTCGGTCATCTTAGTCGACCCGTAGCACCTGAGTCTGCCCCGTGACCTCCTGTCAGCCGGCGTTCGACACTTCACGTGGCCTCAGGGTGCACCTAGCCTGGCACAAGCGCCGTGGTGATGTCACCGCGACTTAGTGGCGAATGGCGGTTGTTGTGTGTGTGTCTATGTGTGTGTGTGCTCGTTAACAGCACTTGCCCCTACAGTCTGTCAAGGCCACACGGGGGATCTTTGTCCGTGTGCGTGCCAGGCGTGGTGCACCTGGACGTGGCCGAGGCGACCCTGCCAGGGGTCGCGGCGAGACTCACCCAGCTGCTCGCCGCCAGCGCCATCATCCGGGCACGTGACCGTGACCCCCTGCTCCGTGCACTCACCCAGCGCCACAGGTGCCGCTCACCACTCACTCACCACTCACTCACCACGCACTCACTCACCACTCACTCACTCACTCACCACTCACTCACTCACCACTCACTCACCCGCTCACTCACTTACTCACCCACTCACCACTCACTCACTCACCACTCACTCACCTACCCACTCACTCACTCACCCACTTACTCACCCACTCACTCATTCACTTACTCACCCTGCGCCACAGGTGCGCTCACTCACCCACTCACCACTCACCACTCACTCACCACTCACTCACCACGCACTAACCACTCACCACTCACTCACTCACCACTCACTCACACTCCAACACACGAGTGCTCACTAACCCTCCCCCCCCCCTCCCCCCTCCCCCCCAGCCTGCCGTGTGACTGTGAGCCGGCGGCCGCCGCTTTGCTCCGCAGCGGCCTCGGCTCCCTGCGCCTGCGGGCCAGCAGCTGGCGCCGCGGCGCCGTGCGGGGCGGGCCGGGCTCAGCCCCCGGCTCGGCCCCCGGCTCGGCCCCCGGCTCGGCCCCCGGCTCGGCCCCCGGCTCGGCCCCCGGCTCGGCCCCCGGCTCGGCCCCCGGCTCGGCCCCCGGCTCGCCCGGCAGGGGCCCAACGCCGCCCGGGGCCACCGCCGCTCACCGCGACGTGGAGGCCGCACGGTGGCCCAAGGTGACCGCCGAAACCTCCGAGATCGCAGCCAGGACCAGCGTCACCGCCAGCGCTAGCGATGATGCCGCTACCAACACTAACTAGCAACACTAACTACCAACACTAACTAGCAACACTAACTACCAATACTAACTACCAACACTAACTACCAATAATAACTACCAACACTAACTACCAACACTAACTAGCAACACTAACTAGCAACTCTAACTACCAACACTAACTAACAACACTAACTACCAACACTAACTACCAACACTAACTACCAATACTAACTACCAACACTAACTACCAACACTAACTACCAACACTAACTAGCAACTCTAACTACCAACACTAACTAACAACACTAACTACCAACACTAACTACCAACACTAACTACCAACACTAACTACCAACACTAACTACCAACACTAACTACCAACACTAACTACCAACACTAACTACCAACACTAACTACCAACACTAACTACCAACACTAACTACCAACACTAACTACCAACACTAACTACCAACACTAACTACCAACACTAACTACCAACACTAACTACCAACACTAACTACCAACACTAACTACCAACACGAACTACCAACACTAACTACCAACACTAACTAGCAACTCTAACTACCAACACTAACTACCAACACTAACTACCAACACTAATTAGCAACAGTAACTACCAACACTAACTACCAACACTAACTAGCAACACTAACTACCAACACTAACTAGCAACACTAACTACCAACACTAACTAGCAACACTAACTACCAACTCTAACTACCAACACTAACTACCAACTCTAACTACCAACACTAACTACCAACACTAACTACCAACACTAACTACCAACCCTAACTAGCAACACTAACTACCAACACTAACTAGCAACACTAACTACCAACACTAACTACCAACACTAACTACCAATACTAACTACCAACACTAACTACCAACACTAACTACCAACACTAACTACCAACTCTAACTACCAACACTAACTACCAACACTAACTACCAACACTAACTACCAACACTAACTACCAACACTAACTACCAACACTAACTACCAACACTAACTACCAACACTAACTACCAACACTAACTACCAACACTAACTACCAACACTAACTACCAACACTAACTACCAACACTAACTACCAACACTAACTACCAACACTAACTACCAACACTAACTACCAACACGAACTACCAACACTAACTACCAACACTAACTAGCAACTCTAACTACCAACACTAACTACCAACACTAACTACCAACACTAATTAGCAACAGTAACTACCAACACTAACTACCAACACTAACTAGCAACACTAACTACCAACACTAACTAGCAACACTAACTACCAACACTAACTAGCAACACTAACTACCAACTCTAACTACCAACACTAACTACCAACACTAACTACCAACACTAACTACCAACACTAACTACCAACCCTAACTAGCAACACTAACTACCAACACTAACTAGCAACACTAACTACCAATACTAACTATCAACACTAACTAGCAACACTAACTAGCAACACTAACTACCAACACTAACTACCAACACTAACTACCAATACTAACTACCAACACTAACTACCAACACTAACTACCAACTCTAACTACCAACACTAACTACCAACACTAACTACCAACACTAACTACCAACTCTAACTACCAACACTAACTACCAACTCTAACTAGCAACACTAACTAGCAACACTAACTACCAACACTAACTAGCAACACTAACTACCAACACTAACTACCAACTCTAACTACCAACTCTAACTACCAACACTAACTACCAACACTAACTACCAACACTAACTACCAACTCTAACTACCAACACTAACTACCAACACTAATTACCAACACTAACTACCAACACTAACTACCAACCCTAACTAGCAACACTAACTACCAACACTAACTACCAATACTAACTACCAACACTAAATACCAATACTAACTACCAACACTAACTACCAACCCTAACTAGCAACACTTACTACCAACACTAACTACCAACACGAACTACCAACACTAATTACCAACACTAACTACCAACTCTAACTACCAACTCTAACTACCAACACTAACTACCAACACTAACTACCAACACTAACTACCAACTCTAACTACCAACACTAACTACCAACACTAACTACCAACACTAACTACCAACACTAACTACCAACCCTAACTAGCAACACTAACTACCAACACTAACTAGCAACTCTAACTACCAATACTAACTACCAACACTAACTACCAATACTAACTACCAACACTAAATACCAATACTAACTACCAACACTAACTACCAACCCTAACTAGCAACACTTACTACCAACACTAACTACCAACACGAACTACCAACACTAATTACCAACACGAACTACCAACACTAACTACCAACCCTAACTACCAACACTAATTAGCAACACTAACTACCAATACTAACTACCAACACTAACTACCTATACTAACTACCAACACTAACTACCAATACTAACTACCAACACTAACTACCAACACTAACTACCAACACGAACTACCAACACTAATTACCAACACTAACTACCAACACTAACTACCAACACTAACTACCAACACTAACTACCAACTCTAACTACCAATACTAACTACCGACACTAACTACCAACTCTAACTACCAACTCTAACTACCAACTCTAACTACCAACACTAACTACCAACACTAACTAGCAACACTAACTACCAACACTAACTACCAATACTAACTACCAACTCTAACTACCAACACTAACTACCAACTCTAACTACCAATACTAACTACCAATTCTAACTACTGACACTAACCCTACCAATGCTAACCCTACCAATACTAACTACTGACACTAACCATACCGACACTAACCCTACCAATACTAACTACTGACACTAACCCTACCAATGCTAACACTACCAATACTAACTACTGACACTAACCCTACCAATAGTAACCCTACCAACACTAACTACTGACACTAACCATACCAACATTAACCCTACCAATACTAACTACTGACACTAACCCTACCAATACTAACCCTACCAATACTAACCCTACCAATACTAACTACTGATACTAACCCTACCAATACTAACCCTACCAATACACATCACAACCAGTACAGATGACACCATCATCATCATCTTCGTGGTCGTAAGCCATCGTATGTGTGTGAGTCTCCGTGTGTGTGTGAGTCTCCGTGTGTGTGAGTGTGTGTGAGTCTCCGTGTGTGTGAGTGTGTGTGAGTCTCCGTGTGTGTGAGTGTGTGTGAGTCTCCGTGTGTGTGAGTGTGTGTGAGTGTGTGTGAGTCTCCGTGTGTGTGTGAGTCTCCGTGTGTGTGAGTGAGTGTATGTGAGTCTCCGTGTGTGTGAGTTTGTGTGAGTCTCCGTGTGTGTGAGTCTCCGTGTGTGTGTGAGTCTACGTGTGTGAGTGTGAGTCTCCGTGTGTGTAAGTCTCCGTTTGTGTGAGTGTGTGTGAGTCTCCATGTGTGTGTGAGTCTCCGTGTGTGTGTGAGTCTCCGTGTGTGTGTGAGTCTCCGTGTGTGTGAGTGTGTCTCCGTGTGTGTGAGTGTGTGTGAGTCTCCGTGCGTGTGAGTGTGTGAGTCGCCATGTGTGTGAGTGTGTGTGAGTCTCCGTTAGATATTTACGCGTGGTTTAGTGGTACATTTTTGAAGGTGGAGGGGTTACCAGCCCCTCGCACCCGTCCAGAGCCCACGTTTAGCCCCTGTGGTGGTCACAGACGCCATGAGAGGAGGGGCCAATCAGAATTGGACCTCCCCCCACAGCACTGTCCATGACAGAGTTGCCCGTCCGGCACCGCGAGGAGGTAGGGAGTTGTTTTGCCGGATCTTATGAACAAAAAAATGAGGGGGGCGTGGGAGCGTGGCGGTGAGTTGTGGGAAGCTGTAAGCCCCAGGCTACTTTGGGCTCGCCTTCCCATCAATCGGAGGCGAGGAGTGGTGGTTGTGGTTACTTATGCCCCCACTGAAGAAGAACATCCGTGGAGGGATGCAGGCAAAGCCAATGAGTCAGATGCCTTCTATGACCTCCTGTCACAGGTGGGGCTAAAGACGCCCCTCGAGATAGAGTCATCTTGTTGGGTGACTTCAATGCCCGAGTGGGTCATGATGATGGCACCTGGTCTGGAGTGATTGGAGGGCATGGGCCAGATCAGCTCATTAACAACGGTAGGAGGCTGCTAGATTATTGTGCAGCCCATGGGCTTGTAATTACCAACACGCTGTTCCGGCATCGGCGCATCCACACAACATCATGGATGCATGCCGGGTCCAAGCAAGAACATCTGCTGGACTACATAGTGACGGACCAGCGGATGCGAGCCCATGTCCTTGACACTAGGACCTACCGTGGAGCTGATCTGTCCTCTGACCATCGACTTGTCATCTTTAAGATGCGCCTGCCATTCTTCCGCTCCGGTGGTGGGTGTACACCCAGGACCCCATTCCAACCTAAAGTGGCCTGGTCTCAGTTATCTGATGAAAGTTGCAAGCAAGAATTTCATCATCGCCTGTGGCTGGGGTTGGCATCGTCCCCCAATCCTCCTGATGTCAAGGGTAAATGGGCGAGGTTTAGGACTGTCACTCATGCAGCTGCATTGGCTGCTTTGGGTACGCGGTCCAGACCTCCCCAGGGACCCTGGTTGACAGAGGAGGTGTTCAGGATAGTTGAGAAAAAGCGACAGGCCCACTGTCATCGGCTACAGAATCCCACGTCAGAGAATGAGGAGGCTTACCGCAGCCTTCGCTTGGAGGTTCGGAGAGCCGTGAGGCGCTGCAAGGATGGGTGGTGTTCGCGGGTTGCTGAGAAGATGGAGTCTGCCTCAGTGGCCCGCGATCACAAATCTCTATTTAACTCCATCAAAAAAGTAACCTGCAGCGCCACACCTATTACCATCATTAGGGGAAAAAACGGTGATCCAATCTCC